GCTCACCCTCCTGCTCACACTCACACTCACTCCTTCCAGCTCACCCTCCTGCTTAGGCTACCTGGGAGGTAGGGAGCTCAGTTCCCTGTGGCGTGCACATGGGGAAGAGTGTCCACTGGACAGGTCTGTGAGAGAAGGCACTCAGACTTTGGGATGTGATGACCCTTGCATTCTAAGGTTCCCTTCTAACCTGACAGGTTTTGTGGCAATGTTTCAGTTTCATTGGACACACCCTTACATAGTGCATTCCTAGGTGCCAGGCAGTGCTGGAGGCACTTACAAACATTAATTGTCACAACCACCCTGTTGAGGCTAATCACTTTACTATCATCCCAACTTTAGAGATGAGCAAATAGGCATAGAGAGTTGAAGCAACTTGCCCAAGGTCACAGAGCCAATAAGTGGCAGAGTTGGGACTCAAGCCCAGGCTTTCTGGCTTCAGAGCCCATGCTTTTGACCAACCTGCTTTCATAAATCTGTGACTTCTAGCCAGTGCCAGATCTGCCAGCTGATTTCTGTGGATTATGTATTTTAGAACAGCTCTGCCGGCAGCAGCGTGAGTCTTCCAAATGCCAGGTCAGCTTCCCCCGCCTACGCTCAGCGCCTCAGCTCAGTCAGTGCCTGGCCTCAGCACCAAGATACCAGCTCCAGCTAAAACAGACACTCATGCACACAACTGTTTTCTTCTTAGACTAGGATCTAGGAATTCAGCAAAGAAAGAAAGAAAAAGGCTATGAGCTCCGCGGCCCCACGTTCATTCCAAGTGGAAGGAAGCTGTCCTAGGCAGGGTCATCCCAGGACACTCCTCACCCTGTGGGTGGGCAGGGCAGTAAAGCCCCACAGCATACACCTGGGTGACACTGAGCACCTTTATTAATTTGTCTGGGCCTCTGCTCTCTCACCTGTAAAATGGGGACAACAGCCCTCAATTCACAGGCCTGTCGAAAGCATTCAGTGTGGTCAGGAGTGTCGCATGTTCAGCACAATGTCTATGAACACAGTCAACCTCCGCCAGTTTTTACTCTGTCATTGCATATTCTGGTGGGTCTAAAAATGTTCTTCCTGTGTGCAAATGTGCATGGACAAACTAGGCTAGGGCAGAGACAAGATTTCACACAAAAATTCACTTCAAGCCAGTTTACTCTGCTATTTTAACATTTCTGACTAAAAGGAGGCTGGTCCCCTGGCCCAGAGAGGGTCAGAAGACGGAGAGGAGAAATCCATGACCATTCCCCAGGTCACCCCACATTATGGACCAGGGAAGCATTTCAATTCTCCTCTGCAGACAGCCAACATTCCTAGGAATGTGAACTTATAAATACATATGACCTTCCTCAATAGAGTGAAATCTGATTATGTTTTTTATCCATTTTTTTCTTACTACAATCAAAAGCAAGCACTTAAGTTAGGCTGATTCATGAGATCAAGATTCTGAATCAGTCTTTTGCAATTGTGGATTCTCGGAAACAGCTTTGATAGTGAACATTTTGTGGACAAGTGACATCTGCCTGCTATTGTCCTCTGCAGCCTTGTGGCTGGGGGCCCTGGCCAGGGTAGACTCAGGGTTCCTGTGCCTCCAGAGAACATTCGCCAGGAAACTTGGGGGTCTGCTGCCTCCTGGCTTGGCTTTTGTAACATGAAGGGTGTCAGAGTGGACAGACCCTAAGTGAGTGAGAGTTTCATCCTAGTGACAACCAGCTAGAGCCAGGTAGTGCAGGAAAAGATACCCAGCATTTTGTCTTACAGGAAGGGTTTGTGGATAACTGCAGGGCTGTGCCTAAAAGGGAGTAGAATAGCCTGAACAAGGGGATTTAACTTCTGGAAACACCCAGCTTGCATGTGTTGGGAATGGGAAGCTTGGGGTATGCAACTCTGTCTGGACTCACCAGTGGACGAGAGCCCTCATTCCAGCTATGGGATGCCTGGGGGAGCTGCAGCTTGTGAATAATAACATGAACACAAAATCCACTACTGATTATGGAGAGAAGGAAGCTATCTCCTGTATAAACAGTAAATAAATAGAAGTCCAGCTGCCATCCATGAAGGTAGAAGCTATCGACTCTCTCACATGCTTATTATTTCCTTGACATTCTTGCAGCCTCTCACTGATATTAATAACACAATCTGTCTGCTGGATCTTAGGGAGAGCAGGGACGGGAGGAATTCTTACCTTTCCTCTGTATTTCTCAGATTGAAAGCATAGTTCTACACAAGGCTGAGTCCAAATGTTACTCAGGCTCATGACAATCAGTTGTGGGAATGGATTTAAAGCCCTGTACAAGACATACTGACAGCACAACATTCTGGCCACCGCCCATCATTGTCACTGTGACATTGCACATAAATCTCTTGATGTTGTGTTTGAAACCCTGTCACCCTGCACATTGGATGGACCTGCTGTTTTCCCAGCCCTAGCTAGAGTCTCTACCCCAGCACACATCAACCTTCCTCAATCAGGAAATTAAGGGCGAATAACCTCTATTCCTCTACAGGATGTTGGTAGTGTTTTTCTGTTTGACTTCATTGCAGCCTGATTTCTTTCAGATCTAGCACGGTTTCTTCCCAACTTTTACTTGGTGGATCCAGGCGGATTCCTGAGCACATTAGCTATGACTTTTTCAAACTCGCTATGTATAGTAGATGAACCTTATGAGCAAGAGTGGAGTTGCTGGGGTTCCATCTCAATGCAGTGTGCACTGGAGGTTGTGCTAACTCCTTACTCACACTCACCATTGTCAACTTATCCAATTTGGTTTCCACAGACCAAAGGGTGAAAGATTTCTTGCATGCTGCTTATGCCACACTACCCACCTTCAGGCAAGGTGGTGAGATGGAGCTGGCCTGCAGCCTTTTTGTGCAAATGGGAACACCGCTGTCCCCCTGCTTTGTGGAGCAGGTCTCCTGGTGGGCCAATAGCAGCCTGGAGCCAGTCGACCTCGGTGAGCCCAACAGCACCACCATCCAGGCCAGCGAAGGGACCTCTGGACAGGCTGCAGGTAAAAAAACCGTCCACCTCAACAAGGCTAACCCAGAGGGCTGCAGAGACAGAGTCTCATCACTTGTCAGAGACATGGTGCTCAGGCCACATTCAATTACAGCAGAAGTTTGTCCTCTTGGGAGACCCTATCCTTGAATGACAGGGGGACACTGAGTCCCTTTCTGCCTCTCTTCCTGCTCTGACCCCCCCTCACACAAATATACACATGGGCACACACACACACACGAGCCACGAGAGCATACAAGAACACAGAAGTGTGCTCTTCAGAACCTCCTACCTCGGAGGACCCCGCAGGCTTTGTCCCATGCAACTGTCCTCCCACTGAGCTCTGCTGTCATCTATAATAAACCACCTGTGATCGCAAAATGCAACAGGAGCCAAAAAAAAAAAAGTGGTATCCTGGGAATTTAGGTTAAGGAAATAATTTAAGAAAAAGTTACACACAATAAAACATTTAGCTCAGTGTAACTGAAGAAAGAGACTTACAAACAGCCACTCTGCCCCGCAATGAGAGGTAAATCAGTACAGCACAGCACCTGCATGCTATGCAGTTGTAATTATGATTAAAGAGAATTAAAATTATGAACACTTACTGAGTGTTTATTAGTTAGCACTGCTCCAAGTTGACTATCTCAGTTCACCCTCACAATAATCCTAAGGGGTAGGCACTATTACTCTCCCCACTCTATAAATGGAGAAACTGAGGCACAGAAGGCTCAGCCTCCTGCCCAGGGTCCACATGCCAGGATTCTAACCCAGGTGGTCTGGCTCCAGCACCCTTAATCATTTCAAAAGTTTCACAGCAATGTGGAGAACATTCAAGAACCAGTGTTGGTTAAAAAGCAGGCTAGGAAGTGATATGTATACTGGGACTGAATGGAAAACAAGAGTGTGTGAACAGGGATGGCAGAATTACATGCAAAAATTAACATCTTTTGGGATGAGGTTCTCTCTCCCGCTCTCATATTTTACCATGTCTTTTCAATTTACTTAAATATGTTTAATTCCCTGCTCAGCTCCTTGTGCTGCCAGGTCGTAAGGCCAGAGAAGCAGCTCCCTATACAAGCTGATTGTCCTTTGCGAAAAAGGGGCAGCTGGCGCAGTTGCTCGGAGCAGAGAGTCCAGAGCTAGGCCGCTTAGGTTCAAATCCAAGCTTTCTATGGCATTGCTGAGGTTCTATTTCAATGCAATGTGGATTGCATTGATGGCTAAGTGGATGGTGGCTTCACCCCTCGTAAGTATGTGACCTTGCCCAACTTTTCTGAGCCTCAGTTCCCTCATCTGTGAAATGGGGAATAACAATAGAACTGTTAGGAGGAGTTGGTGAGGATTTGCTAAAGTACTTAGAACAGAGCCTAGCATAAAGTATATGTTTATTAAACAAATAAACAGCTGGGACAAAACTACCCCTTTAACGGTGATCTGCCTGCTCCTCTTTCTGGTACTCCATGAAATTTTAACTGCAACCCTCCAAAGACCATACCTTGAATATTGTCCTCTAAGCAAAGGCTCAGTGAGAGATTGAGCTCAGCAGCGGGGCATGGTGGGGACTGGGGATGACACTGGGCAGCATCTCCCATGTAGCACACACTCCTTCCAAGGGTCTGCCCTGGGAGAGAATGTCTAATAATTCCTAGGAAATGGCCCCAAGCAGAGCCAGGAGCAGCATCCCAACCTGTTCAGAAAAGAATAAAAATCAGGGTCTTCAGCAACAGCTGGATACACACATGTCAATTTGCAATTAATAGATTTTAATGAATACTCTACAAACCCGACTCCAGAGATGCCTCACTCCCCCCACCTCCCCTGAGTGGTCACGCAGGTGTCAGGACTTCTGAGGTCTCACTTTCCATTTCCCTCTCCACACTCTCCCATCCCAGCAGGGAGTTGAGAGCAGCTCCTGGTGCCTTGGGTCCCTGGCAGCACAAGGAGCTGAGACAGGGAGTTAAATATTCTTAAGTAAATTGAAAAGATATTGTAAGATGGAGAGAGAGACCACCTTATGCAAACAGACCTTAATTTTTGCATTTTAACTCTGCGCTCCTTGTCCACACGCACACTGGGTTCGGTTCAGTTGCAATGCACGTTTAACCCACAGTCCCCTTGCTTTCCTGGTTGCAGGTGAAGGCCCCAGTGAGGGCCCTCGTGGCTGGCCGTGGGAGCACGTCGGTGCAGCATTTGCTCAGCTGGTGCTTGTGAGCACCATGTCTTTCCAAGGCACTTGGCGGAAGCGATTCTCCTCCACAGACACGCAGATCCTGCCTTTCACCTGTGCCCGCGGCCTTGTCCTTCAGGTGCCCATGATGCACCAAATGGCCGAGGTCAACTATGGTGAGCCCTGCCCCTGACTTGCCTAAAGGGAGAGGAAGCCTGAGAGCAGGAGAGAGGAAGCCAGGTCCCTGCTCCTAAGGGATCAGGCTGTGTTTCTGCAGGGTCCATCTGCTGTACTGGGCATGTGGCAGAAGGAAAGACTAGGGTGCCAGGAGACTTTAGAGAGGAGCGCTGGACAGTGTGCTCTGACAGGACAGTGAGGACACAGATGTGGAAGAGAAACCCAGTTTCATGCTTGACATTTCCTCCCTCATTAGTAGAGTTTGGACCAAACTGCCTCCCTTGGCAGGCACGATAGGCCTGGGTTGAATTGGCTGCTCCTTTGAGACCAGGTACAGTAGTGCCCTGTACCCTTATCCATGATTTTGCTTTTTGAGGTTTCAGTTATTTGCATCAGAAGATATTAAATGAAAAATTTCACAAATAATTCTCAAGTTCTAAATCGCACACCTTCTGAATAGTGTGATGAAATCTCCTGCCGTCCTGCTCTGTTCCACCTGGGACATGAATCATCCCTTTGTCCAGCATCCCCAGGTTGTCTACAGTACCCCCATATTAGTCACTTAGCAGCCGTCTCAGTTATCAGATCAAGAAAACGTAGTATATACAGGGCTCATTACCAGCTACTGGAGTTCTTGGAGCGTATCTGCCAAGGACAGGGGGGCACTACTCTATGTGGTTCTGCACGTGCCATCGTGGCCCTCATACCCAGCCCTACAGAGCCTCTGACTCTGTCAGGTATCTTAAAGGGTATCTTAAAGACTCTAGGTCTAGGATTTTGTAAATAGCCATATTACCCAACAGTCTTTGGCCCTAAACTGCCTCCTGAGGGTGAGGTGATGCTTTGTTTCATTGTTTCCAGTCCTCTGAGCCAGCCTGTCTCAGGGTCTGGCACTGGTTGATTCTCCTGGCTCCTGGGACAAAGCTGACCTCTGATCCACTGCACCCTCAGGTCAGTTCCAGGACCCTGCAGGCCATCAGGTGGGGGTGCTGGAGCTGCCTTACCTGGGAAGTGCAGTGAGTCTGTTCCTGGTGCTGCCCCGTGACAAAGACATCCCCCTGAGCCACATTGAGCCACACCTCACTGCCAGCACCATCCACCTCTGGACCACCAGCCTGAGGAGAGCCAGGATGGATGTGTTCCTGCCCAGGTGAGCAGCTGCGTCCCCCTTATGGGTGCTGTGCAGCCAGCACTCAGAAGAGCCTGAATTTGGAGCCAGGTGGTCTGCCTCTAGGGTCTGTGCTTAGCCACTGGGATGACTTGTTTAATGTGTACCCCGAGAGGTTAGGCCAAGAGGAAGTGACCCTAGAGTCTGAGTCCATTTCAGAGTCACCCCTGGCCAGCTCACGGCACAGACTGAAATGAACAAACTTCCCAGAGTCTTCCCAAGACAAGATGTTCTGCCTTCGCTGAGCTGGACCGGAGGCCCCCAGGGCCCCTGATCCTGTCTTAGGCCACAGCTAGTTTTTGAAGAGGAAATCCTCTGTGGTTCCCTTGTAGGAACATATCCCAAATCTTATCCCATCCTAAGAGTATACAACTGTCATTTTCCCAAAACCAAAGAGGTAAGATGACTTACGTAACTGAACAAGTACAGATAAAATTCTGATCAGAAGCCAAATTAAGGCATAAAAATTTGACGCTTTAAGTCTCTATGCAGAAGGTTCTCACTCTTTCTAAAAGGAGGTGAACTCTGCTTTAAGTAGACCCAATAGGTACAAATACAAATCTCCAAAAAGTGAAGTGGTGGCGTTCTGTTTTGGTTTTTCAAAACAAAATCTATTAGCAAAACTCATAACTTTACAAAAAGATTCCTCTTAGGGCTTCTTTAAAGAACAAGCTTCTGTGATATATTTGAAATCAGAGTAAATTTATAATCAATTTTTGACCAGCATTAAGCAAGGAATGTTGTCCAGTAGCTCATCTTCTGCGTGTGAATTCTCCATGCTACTGCCCACTAGCCACCTTGGCCTCCCTCCACTGCCTGGGCTCCCAGTAGGCAAAGACAAAGTCCTTGGCAGTACTTCCTCAAGGAGTTAAAAATAAATCTATGCACTGGAAGGAAAACATACAAAGAGAGACCCAGCAAGTTACCAGCCAAGGTCTAAAGTCAGGTCTGGCATAGCCCAGGGCAGAAGGTGCACTTAACTCTAAGGTAAAGTATATCTCTCAAAACTAAATATTTGGACCCCAAGCCAAAGCACAAAGACAGGTTATTTCAACAGATCTCTCAGGGAGGGAGCAGAAACAACCCTAGTCTTCCTATTATATTTGAGAGAAACTTGGCAAGGGAAGGAAGAGGAGCATTCCATGTCAAAAGTAGAGAGAAAATGCAGGCTGGTGTGGGAATTTGCCACAGTCTTTTTGGGTTTAAGAGACAAATGGTGGGCCTCATCCTTGAGCAGCTCTTCCCTGGAAGAGACCCCAGGGAAATGCCCAGCTCCTAGGAGAACTCTCCATCATCCTGATTCTGCTTTTATAAGTCTCAAGCCCTCAAGCAGTGATCCTGAAAAACGCTGGAGGGCAGGGAAGGAAAGGCAAGGCAGAAATATTAGTAACACAATTATTAGCACTTAACCTCATTCTGATAATTTTTAAAAATCTCCTTAAGACTACTCAGTCTGCTGTTCAAGAAGGATAGAGGTTTTTGGGAAAACGAGGTTATTTCACGAGTAAACCTAACAAAGTTTTTTTGTTGTTGTTGTTTTGTTTTTTATTATTTATTTATTTATTTATTTTTAGAAGGAGTTTTGCTCTTGTTGCCTAGGCTGGAATGTAATGGCACGATCTCAGCTCACCGTAACCTCCGCCTCCTGGGTTCAACAATTCTCCTGCCTCAGTCTCCCAAGTAGCTGGGATTACGGGCATGCACTACCACGCCCAGCTAATTTTGTATTTTTAGTAGAGATGGGGGTTTCTCCATGTTGGTTAGGCTGGTCTTGAGCTCCCGACCTCAGGTGATCTGCCTGCTGCTCGCCTCAGCCTCCCAAAGTGCTGGGAATACAGGCGTGAGCCCCTGTGCCTGATCTTTTTTTTTTTTTTTTAGCTTTAAATCCTTTGGGGAACAAAATAGAAAAAGTAAACATTGTCTCAGGTCTAGATTTAAGCATAAACTTTGGATCATGGTAGACACAAAGTCACCTTTTAGGCAGAAATTTACCTCTCATTCTCTCAAATCACTCATTCTCCTCTTAGTATGACCTGATCTACAGTCAGCAGGCATTTTTCATTTCACAAGAGCAAAAAATTTTTCACACTGTGGGTAGCAATGTAAAATTGTGATGTGCTATGAGATGTGCTTTCAGGCTAAACATCACCTTTAACCAGTGCACTAGTAGATTCTGGATGAATTATGGTCTCTAGCTTCCAAAGTAACGCTTTATTTATAAAAAAATTTAAAAGTACATAGGAACTGTTAATCTCCATGAGGGACGCTTAGCATACTAAAGAAATAATCAAGAAAACCAAGAATGTGTTATGGATTATTTATCATCACAATCATGTAATGTCCCACAAGAAAGACTAATAATGTCAAACATGTATGTAATGAATAAAACATTTGATTATTAGGCCAACACAGAAAGCTGATCGTGAGCTTTTTTTTTTTTTTTTTGTGATGTTAGATATAACATAGATCTTAAAATCCACCAGATTCCACGTATCCAAAATGAGTTTTGCCCTTCCTCCAAGGAGCTGCTGATCATCATGGTGTGTGGTTTATGCTTTTCTATGTTTCTTTTTTAAAAACGTCTTCATTACTGTAGCTTTGTAGTGACTTTAGAAATCAGGAGTGTGTCTTTCAATTTTATTATTCTTTTTCAAGATTGTTTTAGCTATTCTGGGCCCCTTGCATTTTCATATAAATTTTAGGATTAGCTTATCAATTTTTGACAAAAAAGCAGGAGGGATTTAGATAGGGATGGTGTTGAATCTGTAGATCAATTTGGCAAGTATTACTTTCCAACAATATTAAGTGTTCTGAGCCATGAACTCAGAATATCTTTCCTTTCATTTAGGTCTTTGTTTCTTTCGACAATGTTTTGTAGTTTTCAGTATATAAGTCTTGCACTTATTCTGTTAAATTTATTCAAAGTATTTTATTCCTTTTAATGCTATTGTAAATGGAATTTACATTAGCAATTTCAGTTTCAGATTGTTCTATAGTTTGTAGAAACAACTGATTTTTGTATCTTGATCTTGTATGCTGCACCTTTGTGAACTCGTTTATTAACTCTAATAAGTTTTCTTTTTTTCTTTGCGTGTGTGTGTGTGTGTATTCTTTAGGGTTTTCTATGTATACGACCAAGTCATCTGTGAACAGAGATAGATTTACTTCTTTCTTTCTAATCTGGATACCTTCTATTTCTTTTTCTCATGTAATTATCCTACTCACCCTCCAGTACCATGTGAAATAGAAGGAGTCAGAGTGGACATTCTTGTCTTGTTCCCGAACTTAGGGGAAAATCTTTCAGTCTTTTACTGTAAAGTGTTGTACTAGCTATGGAGTTTTTGTAGATGTCCTTCATCAAATTAAGGAAGTAACCTTCTAGCCAAAGTTTGTTGTATGTTTGATGTTTGTTTGTTTTTATTCATGAAAGGGTGTTGGATTTTGTCAAATGCTTTTTCTGCATCTATTGAGATGGCGATGTGGGCTTTGCCCTTTATTCTATTAATATGGTATATTAAATTAATTGTTTTTTATATATTGAACCCACTTTGCATTCCTGGGATAAATCCCACTTGGTCATGGTGAGATTTATATAGTGTTGGATTCAATTTGGGCTAGTATTTTGTTGAAAATTTTGCATCTATAATTCATAAGGTATATTGGTCTGTAATTTGTCTTTCTTGTAATATCCTTGTCTGATGTTGGTAAAGGGTATTTTTTTTACTCAAGTTATTTTTGTAGCATTTCTTCTGGATCTGCTTTCATAGCCATACAAGTCTCTAATCACTCTAATCACAACCCATACAATCATTCTAATCTTTTATAGTAATACCTCATTTTTACTGTTGTTTTCGTTACTAAAAATGATACTATCCAGTTTTATCACCCACCATAATCATCATATTTGGTTTCAAATAGCCCTTGATTAACTCTCGATATAATTGAAAAATAACAAAAAATCACAATGGTAACAGTAAGTGTATAGGCTGTGCTGGGGATTGTTCTGAGCACTTGACAAGGATTCATTCATTTAATATTTACAACCCTACAAACACGAATTACAATTATGCTCATTTCACAAATGAGGACACTAAGACAAAAAGAAGTAAAGTAAGTTCCCCCTGAGGCAAAGTAGCTAGTTCCCAGGTAGTTACTTGATCCAGGATTCAAACCCACGGCAATAGATTCCCAAGTCCATGCTTATAACTACTGTTTCAGCATTTAGAGGTTTGAAAAAGGATGTGTTTTCAGTACTTAAGAAAATTTTATAAGGAATGTTCCCAAAATTTTTTGGAGAAATGTCAGCATACTTAGAGAAAATATATTTCTTTTTTGGAAACTACTCTGAAGATTCAAAATATACCTTTATGGGAAAGTATGATACTTTTGTTTAAAGTATGAGTCACATCGCCTTGTATAGCAATGAAGACCTTTGATATTAAATGGCCTTGTTCAATATTTTTACTCTCCTGCAAGTTCTGTATTATTTTTAGAAAAATACCATCTAACTTCCATTTTGATCTTTTTATTTTCAAAGAAAAATAATATCAGCAGCTCTTTTAAAGGATCCTTCAACAGTAAATTTTTAATATGCCTTGTCCCTGGGGAAATATAAAATTGGTATACTGATTCTTTGTGCTCAAAAGGCTTACTAGGAAAACCAAGGTTTTAAGTTGCATTCTTTTCCCACTGTGCTCCAAAGGCATAAACTGCACACAGCAAATACAAAAATATATTTTATCTAGTATAAATACTCTATTAAATAAAATATTCTATTAATTGTCAATTATGCAATTAGTCAATAGCCTCTTTTCTGCACCTACTATATGTGAGATGCCACACGAGATGGGAGGCAGCAAAATGTAGGTGATTAGAGCATGGGCTCTGCACACACAGGCTTGATTCGAATCGAGGTCCATCACATACTCATTATGTCATCTTGGGCAAGTTTCTTAAACTCTTTAAGTCTTGATTTTCCCATCTGTAAAATGAGGATAATAACATAGTTATATAAAGGTGAAATAAGATAATGCACATAAAGTTCTTATCATAGTGTCTAGCATAATATAAGCACTCATTAAATATTAATTCTTATTAAGAAATAGAAATGGAGCCCAGCACAGTGGGGCACACCTGAAATCCCAGCTATTTGGGAAGCGGAGGTGGGTGGATCACTCGAGGCCAGAAGTTTGAGTCCAGCCTGGGCAACATAGGGAGACCCATCTCAAAAAAAAAAAAAAAAGTGTAATTAAAAAATAAATTGGGATAGCCACTCTTCTCAGGTAGTTTACAATATCATAAATGACGCTAATAGGAAGCAGAATGTTCTGTATATCGTCAGAGCAGAACAAGGTGTTAATGGGGCTTTAAGAACCAAAGGTCACAAAAAAGCTGAAGAAAGGAGGAGGTAACAACTGAAAAATGGATAATAACTAAAAGAAAATCAAAGGAAATGGGAAGACTTGGAATGAACAGTAGGAACAAGGGTACAGAGGTGGGGAAGAGCCCTGTGTGGTCAGATTAGGGCTATGGCAAGGTGCATGGAAGATGAAGCTGGAAATAAATCTGGTGGAGCGAGCCTGACTTCCAAGTTAGGAACTTTGGACTTCATGTGGTGTGTATGAAAGTACATCGAGTGAGAATTTTGAAAGTTGATGGTTTGTTTTTGCTTTTTAGGTTTAGAATCCAAAGTCAATTCAACTTAAAAAGCATTTTAAATTCTTGGGGAGTCACCGATCTTTTTGATCCACTCAAAGCTAACTTGAAAGGAATTTCAGGTAACAACAGTTCTTCCAAATGTTCTAGTCTTGTGTTTGGGGCAGTTTTATCATACTTTGATTGAGAAATTATCATTGCCACAGAGCCTGCAGTGGTAGACAATCAGAGTCAACATTATATAAAAGAATATGGAAGGTGCTCTGTTTTATATAAGAATGTGTTGCTTCTGATAACAGTCAAATTTGGGTTAGACCTTATGAAGAAGGGATGTTTCTTCAGAACTTAATCATGGTTTTCAGAGACCACCTTCACTGCGGGGTCAATGTCCATAGTACACAGTAAACTGACTGTCCCTTTACCCGTCATGACTAGGGGTGTACCCAAGGCATTAATGCAGCAATAGATTCTTCATTATGACCCTGCTGTCCCGCCAGCTTCACAGTCACCTTTTGTTTCTACACCCTTTTCCTCCCTCCTTCTATACCTCCTCTGTCCTCTTCTAATAAGCTAGTCTTGAAACCTCTCATCTGTCCAATTTCCTTTCTTCAAATTACCCATGCTCTTATAACCTTGCCTTAAAATATTCTCCTTTCCAGCATCCCTATAGAATTTCTTTGCACATAGTTGAATTGCTACTACCAATCAATAGTTACTGTTTGTTTGTAATATGATAGGGAATTTATATCAAAGATAAGCAGGGAGTGAATGCCAGAACCTATGCTCCACAATTCTCTCAAGACACCATGGGCTAAACTATTGCCAACTCAAAGGCTCAGGTTTGTTTCTACTCTGGAAAGTAAATTATTTGTCCAAAGATGATACTGTAGCTGGTATTTCCATTGGCCTTGACATTTCCCTTACCGAAGAGCTTGAAAATCACTATTTTGAATTCTAAAACTAGAATTCTAATGTGAATTTTTCTAAAGTTTGGCTCAGAATCTTCCTTTTTAAGCAATCACAGAAAAATTGAGATTTTGATCCACAAGAGAAGTCTTGATTTGGGCTTTAGATGTGACCAGACAGATTGACAGAGTTACTTATCAAATAAAACACAAGAAAGAGAATCTATTCTAGAGAGTTTAAAATCAAATACCTGTGTACTGATTGCCTAAACATGCAACGACATATGCAAAGCAATGGTCAAGTTTGGGCACAGTGTCCACAACGATGCTTGGCACACAGTTGGATACCAAGTAAATATTGTTGACTTGGTCAAATGACTCAAACAGAAGCTTTCCTTACTGACACAGGCATATCTGACATTTCAGGTAAAGGAGGAATACTGAAGTGAAAAGATCAGAAGGCAAGGAAAGGGCAAGGGATGAAGAACTTAACAGCGTTCTATGTTTGATAATATGCAAAATCTAATCAGTGTTGTCTTGCAACTCTAGAGCTCAGCCATGGCATCCCTGTTGTTGATGGTGATTCTATTCTTTTGATTATTAGAGTTCAAAACTTTAAGGCCATTCTTGGCCTTTTCTTTCACACTACTATATTCGATTAGTCACTAGGGCTTACTGACTCTTCCTTCATAACTCTTAAAGCTCTCTCCTTTTGTGTCCTAAAAGTATATCCTAAAGTGCCATCAACCCTGTGTCCTCAAACAGGACTGATCTTAACACACATCGTGTAGCTTCCCTATTGGCAAAGACTTCCAAGGTCCATAAACTCCTCTGGCAAGATCTAATAAGTAACCTAGCTTTAAAAGTACCTTTTTTTTTTTTAATACCAAACCTCTATTTTTTTTTTAAAGCCATTCAAATCTACTTATATTTGTTCAAACCAGCAGAAAGGTAGGCATAGGCAGGCGGATCTGGCTTATTTAATAATGATCAAGCAGTTATCATGTGCCAAGTGTGAAGCTAGCATTCATGTTTCCTACTGACAAAACTTGCCAGCCTGATAATCTTCTCTCATGAAGTTTTGTTCCTCTAGAGCAGGGGTCAGCAAATAATGGCCTACTACCTGCTTTTCTAAAGTTTAATTGAAACATAGCCACTCTCATTCATCCATAAATCATCTATTTAGCAGGCTGCTTTCCTGTTACAACAGCAAAACTGAATGTTGAGACAGACACCATATGGCCTGCAGTTACTAAAATATTTAATATCCAGCCCTTTATAGGAAAAGATTGCCAACCAAAGTATTGCTTCTTAATGTCCTTCTTTAAACATAATCAAGAGACTAACCACTTCTCTGCCCAAATGGGCTTTCAACTTTATTCTAGAGACAGGGCCACCAAATCTCTCCAATAGTTTCCTCATTTCTAAAATGGTGGTAGCTACCACCCACCACACATGTTAATTGTAGAAACAAAATCATATACATATAGCATGGCATCAGCAGAGACCTTGCTAGAGAGTAAGTGACCAGAAAATGCTGGCCTCTCCTCTCTTCTTCCAGTTTACAAGAGCTTACCAAGCAGTGTTGTACTATTGATGAAGTCCAACAACCACAGCAAACATTTGGCCTTTTGGTCCCAAAGCCAAGAATCATTTTACTCAAGTTCTCTTTCCCCATTTACAAGTCACTCATTTCTTCCTTCTTGGGATCAAATATTTTTTTTTCCTGAATGACTCATTCAATATTATTTCAAGGCCCAACTGAAACTAGAGTGTAATTTCCCCCCAGTCTCCTTGATACTAGATGTTATGCAGCTTTTAAGAGTAAGTTTCACTCACACTGAAGATGCCAGCTACAGATACTCTTCTTAAGCAATCCCACCGGCTTTAGGATCAGCAGACTTTGATATAGACCCATGCCTCCTAGTTCACAAAATACTCCTTGTGCACAGACTTGAAACTCTGAAGAAACTATCTTGTTCTTGGCTTTTATAACTGGGTAGTTTCCAATCTCTGCTCAGTAAGAAGTACAAGCTCTCTGTTACTATGACTTAAATGAACCAGAGTTGTTTGGTTGAGTATGGAAGTATATTATATAAGTTAACTTATGCCACACCAGATGTCTGGTCAGAATTGTAATAGAAAGAATTACGAAGTGGACTAGAAGAGACGAATGGAAAAAGCAACTAACCACAGCCTAATTTCAAAGGCCATCTCGGATTCTTCTTAGCACTCTCTCTCTATCCTGGGCTGGGTGCTATGTCTCTCTCTCCCTTGACACTTAGTTTTAGCAACTAAGTGACAAGGTGAAAAAGATAAACTAGAAGCAAGTTCTGGCAATAACATTTTAAAAGCCACTAACTCTGCCTACAGAAAATAATAATAATTGTAAAGCCAAAAGAAACAGCAAATGCTATGTTTATCCTGATTTATGAGAAGCTGAGGATGAAATGTAGGGACACGATGTTTATATAATATCATAGTATGAAGACTTTTAAACCTTTTGAATATGACTAGCCACACACAAAGAATAATGGTCTCCACCAATAAAGCACTGAAACAATCCTTCCCCTGAGACTTGGAGAAGACTCATTCTATGACTTGCCTTTAAAAGGTTCTACCAACACCAATCAGCATTTCCTTACAAATTTAACAAGGTTAAAGAATATTAAGGCCATTCATATAGTGGTGAGGGGTGTCTATTACTAATTCATCCAGCATTTACTAAACACATTTATGTACCAAGTATTCTTAATGTTAAGTTGGGCAAAGAGATACTTAAAATGAATAAGACATCATTTATGCCTTCTAGGAGCTAATAGTCTAAAAAAGGAAGGTAAACACCTATAGAGGAGGTTATGGAAGAAGAGTGGAGAGTATGCTAGAAGGGAGGGTAGGAAGAGCATCACCCCTTTGCTTTGTATATAGAATATATTGTAGGAGCAAGTGGGTTTATGGTGGGCTATAGTTTCCCAAAGTATGTTCCCCAAATGCTAATCCTGTAAATCTGGGACAGAGAATGGTGTGGGTGGTTCCATGGTTAAATGCTACATATTATAATTATCCTGTAGAGATTCATTATAAAAGTTAGCAGATTAGCAGCTCTAAGAAGTCCCCTATTGAAAACAACAGTGCAAAACTGTTTAGCATATCCCATGTATAATTAATCATAGAACGCTTTTACAGAATGCCACCTATAAACAATCTTGAGAACAACTTTTGGGAAAATAGGGCGTATGCCCTTTAATGGCACTAAACAGCTATCAACACTTCAGGGGAGTAGAAAGAGACCAGGAGAATCCCTTTGTGCTTGACTTCTTCTAGGTTGATTTCATTAGTTGTATAATATTTCAATAGCTATTCAAGAAAAAATAATAGGAATTGGTAATACAAGATCAAGCAGGAGGAAAAAATGCAAACCCACAGATGACTCCCAAATTCTCATTTTTATCACATATGTTGGTCTTTTGAAACGTCAACTCTTACCAGAGATAAAACTTAAAAGATGCTGATGCTATGGACCTTGGTTTATGGCTGTACAACAAACATATAAATGTCAATTATTGGACCACTCCTATAGTCTGATGGAGAGAAACGATTTAAATGAAATTCTTCAGTTGCACTTTCAAAATACTGAAATAGCCTGGCCCATCTAATCAGATTCATCCACATCAATTGGTCCCATTCTCACACTGCCAAGGTGCCTAGACTAATGTAGACACATTTACTTATTTTAGCTGATAAGGGGTTTCGTAGTGAATCTCTGCTTATTTCACCAACATTCGTTTAAAATGTTCAGACACCATCCCATACAGTAATGTAGTCATGGAGATTAGTACAACCCTCTCATGACTGTCAAATAACCGTTCGTTATCCATAAAGCTCTCTTTGTAACTTTGGCACTGCATTTCAGTTTGCTTAATTAGCTAGTAAGCGGGGCTAATTATTAATAATAGAGAAATTTGTTCTTTTCTTAAAGACCCTACAGAAAAAGACCAACTGCTAAAATAAACCAAATTCTTTCCTGGTTTTAGGACAAGTAACACTAGTGAATGCTTCTATTGATTTTTACTTCCTCTGGCCCTTCCTGTTCCCTTCACTGATGCTGGAAAACAACTGTTCCTTACAGTGAATATAGTCAATTCACAACATCCTGTGCACACCTTACTTACAAGAGGGATGGAATGCCACATATTTATTTTGGAATGGTTTTATTCTCTCATGGCATTCATGGGCTATCTCCTGTACATCTGTGACAAACGCAAACAAATTTAAGCATTAGTCTAAGATGAAACAAAGCTCCCTCACACAATACGTGTACATCAAACTGATTATTTTAATATTCATGCCACAGATACCTCCCAGTGGCATGTTGAAGTTGACTAGCATACACTTTCTATAAGGTGGGAGTGTTTGAGTGGGGTGGAGGGGTGGGATGGGAGTGGGCTTTCAATCAGAATATTCTCAACTCTGCTTTTCAGGTTCATGATCTCAGATGACTTAACAGCTCACTCTAAAATGAAAGGATCGGACTGAATGATTTCCTAAGTTTCTTCTGGTTCTAAATCTTTCCTTTTTTACTGTGTCATGAAGTATCTTTTCATCTTCGGAGCTGTTTAGAATAGTTAATGATTAGCTTACAAAAATCTGTCGATTCCTCTACATTATCACTTAGTCCTATTTGCTAAACTTATAATCTGTGAAACTGTTAGCACACAGAACATTTATACTAACTTCTCATTTGCTTTGTAGATTCTAGCCCATGAGGCCAATTAATTGCATAACTGATATACCTAAGCATACAGAATGCAGTCATGCAACACTAGACACATACATATTACTCTGAATTGTGCCTCAATAAAGCCTGTAATAAAAACCTGTGACTTTGTCATTTCAAAGTGGCTCTTAAAATGCAGTCCAAAAAGGCATTCAAGGGAAATTCCTCTCTGAAGCTTGCTGAAAATGATTCCTGGGCTACAGAGTTTGCATTTTAACACATACCCAAGTGATTCTTATGATCACTGAAGTTTTGAAAATACTGGCTGATTGTAGTATTAACTAGAAATCATTTTTGAAAATGAATTACTGGAAAAAATAGGGCAGTGCTCTAAATATTTTGGGGGAGATTACATATATTTATTAAAGTTTTGAAAGTTCAGTAACATATTGAACCTTAAGAATTTTCCAAACAGCCACCTGAGTCTCCAGTAAAAACAAAAACAAGAATTTTCCACTCTTTCCCTAGCTACACAGTAAGCAGCATTGGATACTATAAATTTTACAAGTACATTTTAAAAGAATGTGTTCTAAATGTGTTAGAAAAATGTTAATGAGCAACTCACATTTTTATCATTTTCTGGGGTTAGGCCAAGATGGGTTTTATGTTTCTGAAGCGATCCACAAGGCCAAGATTGAAGTTTTGGAGGAAGGCACCAAGGCATCTGGAGCCACAGGTATGTTCATACAGAGAATACCCAGTCATACTGCTCACCCATATCTATGCTTCTTAAATTTACCTAGTTGAATCTTCACATTTCTGAATCTTTCCATAACCCCTGAGGGTTCAGATGTGGTACAGCAGTTTTAAAAAAGGAACACTGAAGAAAGCAAAAAGTTTTTGAAAAAGGATGGGGAAGAAGAGATATCTACCTCATAAAAATCATTCTGGAAGTTACCTTCAATAAGGTATTTATTCCATGGAATGTGTTGAAAACAGGAGCCAGATTGGCTAAGTGGCATCTTTTCTCTTTAATTTTCATTCCATGGAATGTGTTGAAAACAGGAGCCAGATTGGCTAAGTGGCATCTTTTCTCTTTAATTTTCCCATTTGCACCCCCATCACAACAGTAAACAATGAAATGCAATTAGGATGTTTCGATTTCTTAAAAAATTATGGGATATTTTACTTCATTGCCAATTGAAATAGTGATTTTTAAAAAAATGAACAGAAAATGCAATGGGATTCTTCTTTCTTTCCTATAGCTCTGTTGTTATTGAAAAGGTCTCGGATTCCTATTTTTAAAGCAGATCGGCCATTCATCTATTTCCTGAGAGAACCTAACACAGGTATTATAGTATTTTTTGACAGGATTCAGATAAATTATTTATCATTGTCTCTCTAGCAACAAGGGCTCATTTGTCCACTGTCCCCTAAAATAAGCATTCTTTCTAGCTGTTCTTATGGTGCTTCAGAAGCTTCACAGTTGCCGTCTTATATCCTGAGAAAGGGGACTATTTCATAAATACAAAGGAAACTTATCCTCTGTGTTTTTCACCTCATTCTCTTAGTTCATATGTAGTTAATGTAGATTTTAAAAAATGCTATAGGTTTCTACTTCTGAAGATACTTGGAAAAATCGTGAAAGTAAAATAAATTATAAATCTTGCCTTTTTCTCCCCCCCATTGTCTCCTAGCTTTCTTGGCATTTTAGGAGAGAGTTTTTTCAGGTCACTAGAGTATGCCAGAGTAGTCCTCTTGTGATTCTGGTATTCTAATGCACCTGGGTTTCTATATTGTTTTGTTGATCTTTCTCGAAAATCAAATGTTTGCCCCAGTAGTTTTAAGTCCCACTATATAACCTTAAAGTAATCCAAAACTCGGTACATCAGAAGGACACACAAATATCCTTAGGCTTCGGCAACACTGAACAAAGTCTTTAAATTATTTCTCTTAATATTCTTCCTCCCCTACTCACAATTACTTAGCCTAGGAAGGAAAAGAGATTCTCAGTTAAGAGTTGTTGGCAAGTGTAAACAGTGTATTAAAAAGAAATAGGATAGAACAAGACTAATAAAATCAAGCAAAGGTGGATCTACTTTAACTAAACATCAGGCATTACTTTTATTTATGGAGAAAAAAATGTCAAAAGTTAGAATAATGAAAATTATGCATAGTTTTACATAAATTGTTAAGGAAATACTGTCAACATCATTTTATCTGAGAATCATTTGCATCCTGCTGTACCTTGTGCTAGAAATCAAAGGAACATTTTTGTGATGAGAAAGATAAAACCATTCACTAGAAAACAATCTATTTGAGGATTATCTGGAGAGAAAAAGTTCAACAGAATATGTCTTCCTAGTATTTCATCATGATCATCCCAACTCCATATTGATTAGATGAAAATTTATCACCCAGAACAGGCAGCAGAGAGCCTTCTCTTAGAAAAGACATGTGAAAAAAATGAAAGATAAAAAAAAGGACAGGTTTTACTCCCTAAAGAAACAAGGAGACAGGACTATATTTGAACAGAAAGGTCACCGCCAAAAGCCAACAGCCAATAAAGGTTGATAGGTAAAAAAGAGATTCTGATTTTGGAATTCAACTGCATAAAAATGATGTAAAATCCGTAAACAAGAAAAAGACACACCCCTATTTCAATGGTGAGTTTTCAGAACTGCCTCAGTAGTCAGAACGAAAACATAAGGATAATCCAAAACCAGTTCCACAATCGACCAGAATTCTAGTAGTCCTTGTGATTTTATTTACCTCTATCTGGGAGGCATTAACCCACATCACACAAAGCAGTGGCTGCTCTTCTGGTGATGGTCATTATGGAAGAGTTTAGAGATGAGTCAGCCTTCATTACTCCAAATTGACAAATCTTACTGATAAGAACAACTAATGAATCAATCAGCAAATGGGAAAGATGGGGGACATTAAAAAAAAAATCTGATAACCTCAAGATTAAACTTTCCAAGAATATCATTTTTCCAGCCTTAAGTCATTCAGTGACATAAAGGGCCTAAAAGACATGATGTTCCCCCTAGATGTATTCCCCTTCCCTTTTGCCGACAAGAATTCTACAATAAGTATTTCACTAATTTAACTAAGTACCCATAGTTCTTTTGTTTAAATGAAAAATGTCTGAGAGAGATGGGACATTAACTTTAGTTCTGATAGGTTTCAAACCCTCCTGACCAGGTTTTAGGATGAGGCGAGCGGATAGTGGCAGAAAGATGAAAGACAAAAAGAGGAGATGAACAGAACTGCTACTTCTCACCTCCCTCCAGGGTTCATTCAGAAAAATGTATTAAAGGTCACGAGCAACCTGTGAAATAGAAAGTAAAACTTTCTGACAAGGAAAGCTGCTAAATATTGTGATAGGCTGAATCTCCTAAATACTCTTGTTAAGTATGAATTTTTATCTGAATGACTTCTAATCTCTCCTACTAATCTCAGAATCTAAATAATATATTCTGGATTTTGTGTGACTCTCATTGAATTTAGCAATGTGACTACAGGCAATTACCTTAACAATTCCATCTATTAAATGTTATCTTGCTAAAAAGTATTTGTGTAGAAGTAAACAAAGTTTAAAGAACTGCATATGAAAATACTATATAATATTACATTAAATTCTCCTTTTTCTTGACAGGGCTTGTCTTCAGTATTGGGAGAGTTTCAAATCCCCTAGACTAAATGCATGTTATCCATTTTCATCAATGCTTTTCTTCATAAAGTTATAATTTCACTTTGCTATACCCTTGAAATTTAAAAAATGTTCTGATAAAGTGTAAAAAGATAAGGGTATGTGATTTTCAATATTATAAACCTAAAAATACTTCAATTTTTAAATTTTATGTTTATTTTGCCTACTCTTAATCCAAATCTATTTTGACCTTCTTTTCTATTGGTTACCCCCCAAACCACTAAAAGGCACAGCAGTGATCTATGAATGGTGAGTGAGTCAGGCCATAAGATCGCTTCCTCAGTAAGGATATGCCAGGCCATGTTGAAGTGAGGGTGGAGAATGAATAGTGTGGTTTTCCTTATCCTGTGAAACTCAGGGGGGATACAAAATGAGCAAAGCCATCTTAAAGTTGTTTCCTTTCCATTTAGCTTATAAATAAAATAGAATTTAAGTGTGAGAACAGTAGAGCAGAACAAAGAGGACTCCAATTTGTTGTGGGCTTTTTTGGAAGCATGGCATGAAGCTGCTGAAGGCTAGGTATTTCAGAGTATGTAGTGCACTCCAAACCTACCACTCCCTAGCTAATAGCTTAAACTTTGTGCCACCCACAATCCTAGTGAGAAAGGAAAAGGTTTTTGAAGTAAGGAAACCAGTAACATCCAAAGCTGTCTGTTTTTTTAAATAGCTTTTAAAGTATCTATCTGCACCAGACAAAGTCATTCCCATAATCTGGGCAGAAATGGGAGTATGTTGGCATGGCCAACAAAAACTACAAACATATAGTAAAAAGGCAATGCAGATTATGTAACATGTAATTACAGTTAGGCTTAACAAACATGAACTTCAAGTGGTGTATTTTTCCAATGCTAAAAAGCAAGGCCTTTAAATTTCCATTATTTTAGGATGTTTTAAAATGATTACTTTAAATGTGATTACTTCCTAAACCACACAAGAGTAAAATAGAGCATTTATTGATGGAATAACAAAAGTGCTTTTCTTAAATATTCTTCAAAATACATTTGTACAACTTACAATAATATATCCAAAATAACTGTATATACAAAACATTACCTAGTTTTAATGTATGTGCTTTTTTCCCCAAAAATTACAAAGTAACTTCAATTTTTTTTTTGGCAAAGTTCAACCTTAACAGAGGTGACAATTTTAAAGGTTGGTTTAAGAAAATAGAACCTGAGGGAAATTGACACGCAAGAGTCAATGACAAGCAAGAGATTTGGAGGAATATTTTTAGTTTGTTAAATAAAAATGTTTTTTAGAGTGATACTTTTCACATTACAAAAATAAACCAAAATGAAGAAAAGGTCACTGTAAAATGATGGAAAAAAGATCTGTAGATTTGCTTTTAGTATTTCAAATAGCCAACAATGCATGTCAGAAAATGAATGCAAGATCACAACAGTCTTGTATTTACTTTGTATTTGAAGAAGATAGTGAAATAAGTGGCCACATTCTATTTTCTTTTAATTGCTATTAATATGGTTGATCTGATTGGCTCTTCGATGAATTTCATCCAAGAAGTTCTCCAGTTGTTCTATTAGCATTCGTTTTTTAAACCTGTACGAAAAAATAAATAGTACTCTCAATTACTTTTTAATGAATAGAATATACCAGTATAATTCTTTTTTTTAAAGACAGAAAATTGCTTTGGGAAGATTTTTCAAAGTGAAATGAAAATAGAAAAATCAATACTATAACACAAAATATGTTGAAAGATTAGCAAATTATTGTACCAGTACAGTATTATAATTTGTCCCTAAAACATTCTAGGTTTAAACAATGGGAAAGAGGTTGTTCCTTCCACAACCAAAAAGAAAAAGGAAAAAACAAACAAACAAAAAAAACCAAAAAATTAATATATTCCAAATATATTCAAGGGTTGCAAACACTCTAGTGAAATTTGGGCTCCCAAAGCATATACTTCAATAGTTTCTTCTCATGTTCTTTGTAAGCTGAATGTTGAAAGGAATGTGAACAAAGCATGAATATAATCTCCCACAAAATGGAAGAAGAAATGAAAATTGGGGAGTTGCGTTTAAAAGCCATGGTATTCTATTACAATTTGAAAGCTAGCAAATCAAGGATAGACATCTATAATACAGAGTATAGGAAGCAGTTAAAGTTCAAGTGACAATTTTTAAAAATTTTCAGTAAAAAATTTGGGTAGACTAAAATTGCATCGTCTACATAATTGCTGATGGTTTTTAGAATATCCCAGGAAACTGGACATTTTATTCCTATTTCCTTGCTACTTGCAAGCTAATCTAAATAGCCACCATAATACTACACAATTCTCTAAAAGGTGGCAGAAGTGAATTACAGATACCAGGAATATAGTTAAATTCCTAATGAGGCTTTAGCGGACAGAATATCACCAGAAAGAGCATAACAGGTTAAATACTCAAAATTATATAAAAAGTTGTAGTCTTATCTAGATCCTGCAAAGTGGCTTGTGCTCTAGACACTCCAAAGAAAAGAAAAGAAGTACAAAGAAAGCAAGAAACAAAAAAGCAACTTTATCTAAAGTTTTTATGTGTAGTATAGAAGGGAGAGGGGGACAAAGGGTAAGTGTGTTTACATTTAGAAAGTCAGATGAGATAAGCCCCAACTTGTCTTACAATACTAAAATTCCCAAAATCTTGAAGGAAAAATAAAAAATGTTTTTAAACTCATACAACTGTTTTCCAGCTAATTACACTTCTTAGTTACCATTTATAACCTTATCTA